CTGATAGCCTGTGTCTTTTGATTGGGGCATTTAGCCCATTTACATTCAGGGTAACTATTGAAAGATATGAATTTAGTGCCATTGTATTGCCTGTAAGAGACTTTATATTGTCTCTATTCCTTTCTGGTCTATGTTACTTTTAGGCTCTCTATTTGCTTAGAGGACCCATTTCAATATTTCTTATAGAGGTGGTTTGGTGTTTGCAAATTCTTTTAGTTTTTCTTTGTCCTGGAAGCTTTTTATCTCTCCTTCAATTTTCAATGACAGCCTAGCTGGATATAGTATTCTTGTAATGCCTTAAATTTTGATCACATCTCTCAGTTACTTTAAGAAACAAGAATTGTTAAAAATAAAACCACAAGCCCAAAATGATGTCACTTAGACCAAATTCCCAAACTGGAGTTTAATACTTAGTCTAATTGCACTTTCAACTTCCCCCAGATATGTAGTCTTAACCAGTCAACCAGGAATTTTTCAATTAGTACCAAAGAGTCTACCACATGGGCCCCTCGCATCCCTCAAAGAAAGATGAAGTAATCTGCATGCTAAGACCCCTTGCTTCCCTCCCACCCCCAAGGGAAAGCCACCTGGCCTGGAATTAATTACTTTCCTTTGCTAATTACTTTCTTTCCCCACCCTCCTTCTACAAAAACCTTCCATGTTGTACAACTCCCTGGGGCTCTTCTCTGCTCCTGGATGGGATGGGTGTCCTGTTCATGAGTCATTTAATAAAGCCAGTTAGATCTTCAAATTTTCTCAGTTGGGTTTTGTTTCTTTAACAGTATCATCTGGTACCCAATCCATATTCATTTTCTGATTGCCTTTAAAAATATCTTTTTTATGGGGGCGCCTGGGTGGCTCAGTCAGTTAAGAGTCTGACTCTTGATTTCAGCTCAGGTCATGATCTTAGGGTCACGAGATGATGGAGCCCCAAGATGGGCTCCGTGCTCAGTGGGGAGTCTGCTTCCCCTCTCCCTCTGTCCCTCCTCCCGGCTCCTGCATATATGCTCTTTCTCTCTCAAAAAAATTAAAATATATATATATCTTTTTTACATTTCAGTTGATTGCATCAAGTTCCTAAACAAGGTCCACACATTGTATTTGGTGGATGAAGTTCTCAAGCCTCTTTTCATCCTAGAGCAGTCCTTCTGAAATTACCCTCTCCCACTTTTCTCCCATGCCACTGACTTATTGAAGAAATTGGGTCAGTTATCTATCCTGTGGTTATGGCCCACATTTTGGATTTGTTTGCTTTTCCATGATTTCCTCAATCTGCCATATATTTTATCAACTGGAAGTCACGGGGCCAGCACTGATAGTCACTATAATATCCTATCTTGACAAACAAAGCATGCCCTTCCTTGAGAGTGCTAGAGCTAGACAGGCATGAGTGTGGTATTTCGGTTATGCCACTTAAAAGCTGTGACCTTGGGCAAGTTACTACACCTACCTAAGCCTCCACCTTCTCACTTGTAAAACAGGAATATAACAATTCATAACTTGAAAAGTTTTATAAAGATAAAATGAGATAATGAGTAGGCAATGCCCAGCCCTGTGTCTGATACACACACACATAAGCAGTAGCTCAGGGAATGTCAGCTCTAACAATGACAAAAGATACCTCCAGTTCACATAGCATAGAAATACTCATTCCAATAAAAGGCTTATAAAGTACCTGAAAAATTGTATCTTTTTTTGACATAGTAGGATATGTACAATATTTATCTGTATAAGTGATTAAGCAATACCTACAGCAGAAGTAGGGAGTCCAAGGATTTTTGAAGAATAAATTGTCTTCAGGAATTTTGCTCTACTGTCAAGGAAGCAGAGTCTCCTCTGGGCCAAAAACATGCTACAGAATAAAAGAAAAACTTTAAAAGGAAGAAAATATATGATACTTACATCACTATCAGACACTTGCAGCTATCTAATAGACCATAAGCTTCTATAAAATATAAGTAAAAATTGCTGATAGCTGTTATCTTGCTATATGTAATCTCTCATCACGAGAATCATTCCAATAGAATCCTCCTTATCTTACAAAAATTTATGCATATGTCATTTTAAACTAGAGATATGTAAGGATATTGTAAATTCAAAAAATAAGTCTCTAATTTGGTCAAGAGCATAAAATTACAGCAAGTAAAAGTTTCATTTGTAGCAGCTATAAAAAACAGAATATTTCAATCTAGGAACAATTCAAATTTCATAATTTTCTGGATAGTAGTCACTGGTAAAACAGCACAATTTTTGACAGTAAATTAAAGTGGTTACAAACAGAGTTTAGTAAGTTGTTTGAAAAGGATTATAGCAAGTCCTTGACAAATATAAAGAATATACGAATGAATCTTAGGTTATTTTCGTAGCTGGTACTTTCCTCAACAATCCCATAGAGAGCTAGCAAGTTATTTCAATAGATTCCAGTTACTAACAGGCATGCATTCTGAATTACATCTCTACCTATAAGGAAAACTGTTATCAAAGAAATATGAAATTCAATTATTATACTGGCACTTACAAGTATAAGAAAACTCAGTTTTCTAAAAAAATCCAAATATATGAGAAGAAACTTCTTGTAAGGTTTTACTCTGAGAATGTTGTAGTGGATGGCACTTCCTCTATCTCTAGTAGTTAATTAAACTTTAGAAAAAGAGACATGCTCTACGGATTCAAAGGAATCCACTGAAGCCAGCTAGCTATGAAGCTTTTTAAGTTACCGAAATGTTAAGGCTACAGAAAGCTTTAAAGGTGAGAAATAATATATTGGATGTTTCTTAAAAAGTTAAGTATAAAATCCTGACCCTGTCAACAAAATCTCAGCTTAAAATGACAGCCTCTTAGCCATTCTACACCACATCAGCCTATTTAAATTCTCTGCAAAGCACTTTTGTTGCTGTTGTTTGGTTGGTTACTCATTCACTCATTCGATGCTTCATGAGCAGGGACCTGGTGTGTTTAGTTTACCACTGCATTCGCTGGCACAGAGTAGACATTTAATAAATAAAAGTATTAAATGACTGAATAAATCCATAAAATCACACTATAAATTAATGATTTAAGTGGACTATTTATGATGCCTCTTATGAAATATCGATTCTTTTTGTAAAGTAAATAATTGCCCCTTATGTTGTAAGTCTTTCAAGTTGAAGAACAGGTTTTCTTAAATCAAGAAATGCCTATTCTTGTGTCATTACCTGTTCCGTTCAGGAATAAAATATTAACTAGGTTAGGCAATAGGGATTGTTTTAAGGAAAGATATTACCAAACAACAGGAACAATATAAAAAAATCTTTATTCAGTATCATGGAGTTATTTGATTTAGGATAATATAGTTGTTGTTGTTTTTCCCAGCAAATAAATGTCCATTTATTTAAGTTCAGCCTAATTTCTTAGGCATTTAAGCAAGTATAAGCAAAATGCTTTCTTACAAGTAGACAAATGAGAGAAACCTCTTCTATGTTCTTGAGATAAACTAGGTGAAAAAACAGCACTAGGAACCAGGATACCTTGATTCTAGTCTTTATTCTGATATTTAAAAAAAGTTTTCTATCCTTGGACAAGTCACTGATTCTTGCCTCAGTTCCCTCATTTTCCAAAACAGATGAATACATGAACCCTTGATTTGAAGGTAAAGTCAGAAGGTGCTGGTAAGTCAATGACTGATCATGTGTGAGCTTAGACACCAGCTCTTAGGAGAGTTCACTCCACACTGGGTGAACCATGCCCTCTGCCTACCAGGTCTCAGTGCCCATTCTCCTTAGGGAGTTAACACTAAATCCACCTGTTTTCATCTGGAAATCCCAACGCCTAAATCCTGCATCATCTCTAGCTACCTTTAACAGTATATTACCTCCATGATACAACGTACTCCCTGGCAAGTGACCCAGTTCTTCATTTCCCTTCCACTTTCCATAGCTTCCACTGTGTCTTTTGGAACAGATGGACCAAAATCAGCAAATTCCAATGTATCTTTACGTTCTCAGAGTGTTTTCCTTGCTTTAATGCAAATCTTACTGTTCCCTGAAGATACCATTTCTATGTTCCTCGGTGCTGGCTTTTGTTCTTATATGCTGCACCTAAGTCTTTCCTATTGTCCCTTTCACCACTGCCAGACTATTAGTTCCCTCATCTGCCTCACTAATGTTACCTCCTGGCCTGCTGATAACTTCCTGTCATTGTTAAAGATTTTGTCATTAGGCATACAGTTTTCTACTCAACACAAAGTACTGTGATCATCCCAGATAATTTCAATGGCTTTAGAGATGATCCTCCCAACAGCTGACAACCCCACGTCCATTGGTCTTCTGCTCCATTCCACCGCAGTCACTTTCCTATCATTATATCCTGACCCTGCACCTTGCCATTACCTCAATCTGGTCTAATTCCAAAAGAACTAATTGAAACATTCTGCTCTTTGACCATAAACTACCATCCCCTTCAATTAATTATTCTGTTCTTCAATATTATCAAGATCTCTAGGAGGCTTCCTCTCCTTTTCCCAATCAGCCTTCCCTTTCCTTTATTTTCCAATTTAGATACCAGCTCCACTACTTTGATAATGTTCTTGACAATGTCCTACCCACCTTGTCTGTCCTTTCACCTGTTTGCAGCACTCTAGCCCTGGATGAACTCGAGAACAGAGTCTGGTTTTCACAAGCTGGGGAAAGTCACACAGGATATGTTTGGTTTCACCATAAATTCATGGGCATTGATCTTAAATGGAATCCCAACACTCTCCAGCATTTATACTATATTTTACAGGGGAAGGATGGCAGAATATGCCACCCCAAAATATCCGACTTTAGAATAAGAATTATTTTGAGCTAAAGGCACTTGAAAAACAGCAAATGCAAGAAGAGCAATCTGATTCCTCTCTTTCTTTCTGAAAACAGGAGACAGAAATTCCCATGTGAAAGGTGCTCTCCCTGCAAAGGAGAAAAGAATCATTCTTACATGGGAAGTTGAAGCTGAGAGAATTCTTACACGGGAAGTTGAAGCTGAGAGACGAAACATAGACCTTGTTAAAAATAATCCTTACCTTCCTTTAGCCTCCCCAAATATATTGGTTACTTTTCCACAATTGCCTCTCCATGTTCAACCTAGTATAAAAGCATTTGTTTTTGCCACTTCTTCGGGTCTTCATTTTCTTATGAGGACTCCCGTGTCACGTAGAACTTACATTAACTGTGTGCGCTCTTTTCCTGTATCTGCCTTATGGCAGTTTAATTCTCAGGCCCAGTTGGAAACCTTAAAAGGACAGGCCATACTTCTCTCCCATAGTCCAGAATGATTATTTTAATTTTTCCCACCCTCCTCTAACCCAAAAGCTCTTTATTCTAAGTAGATGACCTTGTTTCCTACCACAGAGAAAACAGAAGCTATCAGATTTACCATTTCAATTTACCCGAATTGAAAACACCAAACCCCCCAAATCCTTTTATTCTTCCTTTCTATTATAATAAAGAAAGTGACCCTCCCACAAAAGGATAATTCTTCCTCCCATGACTAAGATCTCATTCACTCCTAGTTCTACGGACACCTTGCTCCACTGATTTTTACCCCTTTCTCTGGTATATGCAACTTTCCTTGCTCACATCTCTTCTGGTTAAAAAACAATAAATACAAAATATAAACAAAAACTAAAACTTCTGACGCCTCCCTGTTGCTCATTTCCTCTTCAAATCAAAACTTTCCTGTTACTTTCTCTTGAGAGCAAAGGTTTTTAAAAGTTATGTCTCAGTTGTCTTCTTTTCCTCAGTCCATGCTCTCCAGCCTGATGCAATCTGACTTTTGTACCCATTACTCCACAGAGGTGGCTCTTGCTCAAGTCAGTTTTGACCTTCATATTGTTAAGTCCAGTGAACATCTGGCAATTCTCTCACTCTCCTTGAGCTCTCTGCAGTTTTAGATACTGCTGGTCAAGCCCTGTCTCCCCCCAGAAACACCCTGTTCCCTTGGCTTTTGACATACTACAATCCCTCCTTTCCCTCCTACCTCTCCTCCAATGCGCCATTAAACGATGGAATTTCTCAATACCCACATCCAGACTCTCTTTTCACTCATTAATCTCTCACTAAGTAATATGATTGTGGGAGGAATTGTGGGGGCATCAGTGGGAAAAAAAAGGCTCCAAAGAAATCTAAGTAGGCTGACATACAGATTCTGAACCCCCCAGACTATTTTCCTTCTGCGCTTTACAAAAACATTCTGACCAGAACTTTCTAAAGCAATTAACACTCCATACATATATTCACAAATAATAAAAATAGATTAACAAATTTGGATGTCATTGAAAAGTTGGAGAAAATACAAATATATATATGGCTTTTACTTCTAAACAATATTTTCATTGTATTTTTTCTAGTTTCTCCTTAAAAACAATGTTCGATGAAGAAAACCAGGCAATTGTGAATCAAGGTGATCTGGTAAACCTGATTATGGCATATTGTAAATAAGGTCACCTCCATATTCAAATACACATGATCAATAGAAAATTAAAATATTTCTTGTCATTGGCGTAAACTATTTAAAATGAAAATACAGAAGGTATGTGCAGCAGAAGCTGAGACGGCTGGTGCGCTGTTGGGGGGCAGAATCCACAGCTGCAATGTAAGCAAAGCGGCCAAAATGAATTATATCAAGTTTGAAGCTCGGGCCTTAAACCCAAATGATCAATTTAGATAGAACCACTTTGCATGTGCGGAGGAGGGGTAGGAAGAGATTTAGGTAATTTGACAAAGTTCAGAACATTCAGGTTAACTGCAAGCTCAAGGAACGTTAAGGTGAGAGACTGCAAAAGAGGCCGACGCTAATCAACGCACAGCCCACGCTGTTTAGTTTGAACAAAGGTTATTT